GTGGGGGTAAGGCGGAGTGGTGGGTGGGGGTAAGGCGGAGTGGTGGGTGGGGGTAAGGCGGAGTGGTGAGGGGTAAAATATTTTCATAAAAACTGGGAAGGATTAGAGGTAGTGGACAGTTCATACCACATACCAGCAATGGCCTTCGTCTGGTGATATACAACATCCTGAGTTTGTCCCTTTTGCCTCTGGTCCAGGGTTTCGCCAATGCAAGCGATGACCTTTAACCCTTTACTCAGTGCATGCTGAACCTTTTCTCCAATGAGCTGCAACAAACCAAGTGATTGACATGTCTACAGCCTTCATCGTGATACTTTACTCAAATGTTGATTAGAGGTTGACTGTTTTTGAAACAAAAGGACTCAAATTTGATCTCTAACTGCTTCAATATCTGAAGACAAATGATTTCTATATTAAGCAGATGCACTGGAAATGTCCCCTGGGGAAGATCTTTTTTCTTTCTTGGGGGGGCATGTTAAAAACATTGACAAGAATTTCTGTCTTCATAAAAGACAAACACTTTCCATACATTCTGAAAATGACAAATTCTCAGCACTTCACATCATCTCACTTGGTCAGATTCTCCAAAGACATGCCGCCTCTCTGAGTGACCCAAGATAACCCAGCTCAGGCCCAGGTCCAGCAGCATGGCAGGACTGATCTCCCCAGTGAACGCACCCTTGTCCACCTTGTAGCAGTTCTGTGCTGCTGTAGAAATTTTGGCCGGCAGGCGTTCCTGGACATAACTGAGGTACACAGCAGGAGGTGCAACAACAACATCTGAAACAAGTGGACATGAAACATTTTATGGGCTTTACGCAGAGGCAGAATTTTTTTAAAAAGCATGCAATCTTTGGCACAGGTAAGATGTTACTACTCCTACCAAAGAAGCTTGGAAAGAATCCAAAACACCTCCACTTTGGTGCCAAAAAAGACACGTGGAACACCAGCGATTCACAATAGTGTGCCTCCAAGAGTTGGCAATGCATCGGCCAATCACAATGTGTGAAATCTGTCGACCCTTTCAATGCACATTGGGTTGACAGATTTCGCGAAATGTCATTGGCCAGTGCGTTGCAAACTCTTGGAAGAGCACTACTGTGAAATTCCCATATTGAAAAGCCTGATCTTTATTCATCAATTTAAAATGACCTATTGGGAATTGCTACAATCTGCTAGTTCTGACTGAGTTCAATTAGGCCTAATTATAGGCATTTAACTTTATAACTTGAGTCTTACATTCAGTCTAAATAATCACTCTACCTCTGAGAAGAGTGACATAAAAGTTGTGACAGGACCCTGGGAAGAGTTCCATATGTGATCTATTAGCCATCAGAAAGCAAAACATGTCCAGAAAAGTTCATTTTAGGAGGGAAAAAACAAGTTGTTTACTTAAAAAAACACTACTTTGAATTGTTCAGACCAGTCTCCTAGGGTTTGTTCACAGGGTGTCAAGCTGCACGGCAAATATAAAACTCCTTCTGGCCCCTGCTAACCATGATGAAGCCTCCCAGTTTATGAAAAATGCCTAGAGCCTAAAGGATACACTCTGTAGATATTACAAACTCTGACTGTTTTGCCCTAGCACACCCAAAGTACAGCGTGCCTCAGCAGCTCAGGTGGAGCCGACGGCAAGCCGACTTGTGTACAGGCACCACTGTTCAACAAGATACACGTAGGCCTACGTACGTGTATGATGTGTATCATGTACTGTACACTGTACATGTCTGCATGTAGGCCCGACATACCTGTATTTTCAGGGACCTCAGCTTCTTTCAAGAAATGCAATATTTCATTGATGCTGTCCTTGCTCCCGTTCATCTTCCAGTTCCCACCGACAAAGAAATCCCTGCTGCTTGCCATGATTAACAAAACTAGCTACTTATGCCCCCAAAAGAAGCTGTAAAAAGTTGGCACAAAAGCACCGTTTTTGTCACGTTCTGCTCGTAGAATGCCGCTCAGAAAACGGTGTCTTGTATCCAGGCATTCTTAACCTTAGAGCAAAGGCATTTTTAGTCCTGCTAGAGAGCCAGTCTTAAAAAATAATTAACTCTTTCATGACTTCTTTTTATACTAAATATGCATTTGGATAAAACTTTGAAAAAAGGAAATCAAACATTCTTTATTCTTTAAGTTTACTCATTGAAAACTACACATAATTCTTGTATTATACAAGAATTAAAACAAAAGACAAGAGGCAAGTTATGCGCATATTAATGTCTCACAATACAAAACAGTCGTCGTTTATTACGATTATTTCCCTTGAGTTCGGAGGTCAATTAAATGTCCACAGCAACGATTTCACCCCAGCGCATAACGTATACATTATCACGCAGTATACATTATCACAAGACGGTCCTTAATGAAAACGAGGTTGAACCCGCGGGAACTTTTAGAAAACATTAGTCAGATACCTAAAATTCTTTTCAACTGGAGCTCAGACAAGAAGTGCAAGACGTCTAGGTGTCCTGCTCCCTCGTGGCATACTTTTACGTAACCCAAACAGCTACTTTGTGAGGGTGGTTGTGATTATGTCATTCCGTGATGAGTAGATAAAACTATAACCTGAAGAGTGGAAAACAACCTCAGAAACATCCGAACCCCGGTAAGTCACATGCGTATATCTGCTCTTGTTGTATTATAAAGTGCGACCGGTTGGCTCGCTAAGTAGATTAAGAGGCTTAGCCTTTAGCTTTGTACTGTTTTTTATGTTTGTTATAATAGGCCTATGTTGCTTGTCATGCATGTTGATCAAACTATAGAGGAAGAACACAGAAGGAGCTGCAACTCTGGCACTTCAGAATGTTCAATGATGGTCGCCGCCGAGTCAGACGAATAATAGAAAACATTCCCAAAATGCCTGATTACTGCCTGCATCTTAGCCGGATAAGCGGGGCCAGTAACTTCCTAGCAATACTTGTAGTTTTTTGCTTGCAATTAGGTACAAATTATTGCTGTGACCAGGAAATCGAGAGAAAAACCCCTGATATTAGACCAACGTTTGCCATCGTAAATAAAATTTTTTAATGTTGATACACTGTTCCATGATCCATGCAAAGCTTGTAATTTTATTCTCCTCCCTCCAATACATCAGTGTTCAAAGACTTGGTATGAATTTGGCTAAGACTGGCCAACAAAATGTTGACTTTTACTGGAAAGCTAAGTTCATAAGTAACAAAATGTGCTATTTCATCACTGGGAGTGATCGTGAAATCTCATAAAATACCATAATAAAAATGATTCAAACAAGACACAAAATCTTGTAAACAACCGGGCTATTTTTTCCCAAATTAACTCCAGAAGAAGAGCTCATTAATGGCAATGACTGCACATATAGATTTAGGGCACACAGCATAATGGAAGCAACTGCACAAGCATTAAATGTGATGTTGTCATAAGATCATACCAAGCACCAACAAAGCATGAATATTCAATTCCCTATACCTCAGTGCACAAAGTTTTAAGGATGCAGATTACCGCAACAAATTGCGGTGACGATCATAGATACAAAGGGGTTTCGTGGTTGTGAAACAGATGGTGCATAGCAAGCGTTCGCTGCGCTCTGGCTAGGGACATACCAGGCATGCCAGAAAGCAGTAATTGGCCAGATGTTACAGCCCGGACAGTTCAAACTCCTTCTGTGTCCTTCCTCTATGATCAGACAGACATGTCAGTAATGGCCTACTTCCACTGACTATCCTAAATTCATCTGTCATTCATCTGTTAATGTTATCACTATCCGTTATGTCAGTGACTGAAACGTGACTCTCACAGATGACAAAACACTCCCAAAAGTACTTGGACATGGCTTCAACCTGTTAATTGTTGCCAACCAAATTTTCCCCTAGCCCTTATCATGAAAGAAGATAGCCAGAAACCCAAAGAAAACACCATGTGCAAGCGTGTGCTTCGGCCTCGCACAGCAGCATTGACAAATCCCTCCCAGAAAACCAGTCATGGCAGAGGAAAGATGCCTACAGAAATATTTCCAGAGAATCAGGTATGTCAGAAGTTACTTCTCTTACACAGATAAAAAGGGAAGAGTAGAATAATCTACTGAAATCTACTTGTAACTGAACAACTAAATGGTATAATTTTTCAAAACACTCAGACGTTATATTGCCTGGTCAAGGTTAACTTTGAAAAGGTCAACTAAGGAGAAACTTACATTTCAGTGTAATTACCCAACTTTGGGATTTATGTACTAAGGTAACACATTGGTCTTCATGTATATATGTATAATGGAGTGAAATTGCACTCTAAAATTTTGTAGCTTGATTTAACTGATTACTAGAAGAATGGAACACAGCTATTGTCCGTAAACTAAAAAATGATTCCATTTCCCTTTAGCCAACTCTAGAAACCTCAACCAATAAGCACCGCCTACAGAAGCCAGCAACAGATGTAAATGACACTGTTTGGAAGTTGCCAGAAGGGATGAAATCACCAAGCATTCCAGCTGTGAACCCATTTGGTCTTAGGAGTTGTAACATGGTACATAGGCTGTATCATGCTTCTTTGAGTATTTCGCAAGGCAGCAGGCTTAAGCAGGTATCTCCATTAGTGTTGGTAGGGTGGTAATAGACAAGGATTCGTTCATTGCTTAGTTGCTGTGTTGTCATTTAACTCTGTAAATTTAAGAACTGTTCTGTTTATGAGAGAGGTCTAGGAGTTTGGTAAGGAGATTGTATAAGTTCCTGGATATTCAGTGTGCTCCTAAATTAAAAAAACAAACAAACATGCAAACAGACTTATGTACAAAAAGTTTGGGAGTAAACTTTTATCAATCAGTCAGCTCTTCATACAATGTCCCAGTTTTGGTTGTGTGATCACTTATTGTAAACCTAGTGTATCCCCATCAGTGTGTTTGAAATATCTCTACCTTTATTACAGTTTGAGTTACTGGGTTATTTTATTTCCCTGTTTTCTTCCAAACCCCCATTCTAGGCAGTGGTTCAGCCCTACATTCAGCAGCTCAGAAACTTCAGGATACAACACACAACAAGTCCATTTGACCGGCGGGTGACTGCCTTGGAGTGGCACCCAACGCTGCCAAAGACCCTGGCTGTTGCGTCAAAGAGTGGTGATTTGATCATGTGGAACTACGAGAATACTGCCAAGTTTAACCTGAGTAAAGGGGTAAGTTGAACTGGGATATCTGGTTAAGATCCACACCGGTACCTTGAAATCCAACAACTGGGGTATTTTGGGCTATGTAGATATGTCAGCAGGTTCTAGAGCTCAGCCTGGTGTAAACTCTTCAGAATGATTGGTTGAGCAGATCTTTACTTTTAATGATGAAAAAGGAACTCATGACCTTCCTTGACAAATACAATATCAGAACTTGTAAACTGTAGCAGGTAAATAAAATAACTTTATTTTTAGAATTGAGAGGAAAGGCTACAGGCCATTGAGTGATTGAAGCCAAACTGCAGCGTAAATGACCTGATTGTATTCCATTTTAAAGAATTTCTGCAGCGATTACAGTGTTGAATTCATGAAATTAATTTAATTAATTAATTAAAAAGAGTATGTAGGACAATTATACCTGGGTATTTGCCATTGAAGTGGATCAGTTCTGTCTTGATTGTTATATTTTAGCTTTACACTGTATGTTATATAACAATGAATTTCATTCAATGATCAGATGGGCAAAGGGGGATCAGTGACCACCCTAACCTTTGACCTGGAAGACCCCAGCGGTATCTACACTTCCTCTATTGATGGAACTGTTTGCCGACAGTGCATCAGGGAATCTCAAAGCTGCCACCGTGTTTTCCTCAACACAGCTGACTGGAGGTAGGACAGAAAAAGCTCATGCTCCTCCCCTTTCATTCAAGAAATTTTTTTTTTCTTTCAACACATTGGACTACATGACTCACCAGGTCGGTAAAGGGGGAGCCATCACCAACATGACCTTTGACCTGATGGATCCAAGCGGTGTCTACACATCATCCAATGAGGGGACAGTATGCAGGCATTGCTTGGGCAAAGATGGCGATCGGCATATTTTTCTTGATACTCACAGCATGGAGTAAGTCCCTGCAAGAAATTGGACAGAAAAGACCTCTCCTTGGGGCTCAAGGTGTTTTCATTGATACAAAACTGAAACATTTAACATTAGATCAATTCCAACATTTTTTAAATGCGTCGCTCCAATGAGCTTCGAGATATGTCACCCAAGAGTTTAAAACAAACTCTCACAGTAGTTTCTTATGGTGGCTCAGAATGGCCATCACATTCAGGAGCTGAAGGTTACTTTTTCTCTTTTTGTCACTTTTGTTACATTTTCTCACTTTAAATTCTTGCCAAGATTTCTGTTCAAACTGTTTGGAGTTTCCTTCTCCTTCCAGAGAACAAACATTTTGCATCCATAGAAGATCTGAAGATCCCCTATCCCGACCCATTTTCCTGAGTTCTATTCATCTATTTTGTTCTAGTCGATGGTACTGCAGCTTGAGTGCCAACTATGCAAGAAACCTGCTGATTGCTGGTGATAACTCTGGGAATTTGACCCTGATGGAAAGAAAGAGTGGAAAGGTAAGGAAATGATGAAGCTTGTTGCCAGAGGTGGTAACAAGTCAATTTTTGCAGTCCAAGTCAAATCACAAGTCATTTGGTCCAGTCACAAGTCAAGTTATAATTCATTTGATCACAGGTCAAGTCAAGTCACAAGTC